TCACATGAAGTACAAACTGGAGCACTACTCATCAAGATGGACGAACCATTGCTCCCATAAACTCTAAAACCTCTACCCGAGTCATACAACTCAAATCGAATCTTCTTCCCACTATCATCATTTCTAAAAGACTCCCCCTAAATCTTTTATGGCTCACATTCATATGCTACTAAGTAGACATCGAATATTTTTCTATAAATCTTGCCCTCTCCACTAACTCACAGAAATCTTTGATCCTGAATGGAACAAGTGGATGTCATAAGTTATCCCCGAGTCCTCTCAAAAATATATAGCACTTCTCCTCTAGAGTACTAACTAACCTTGGAGAATATCTCGCTAATACAGTAAACTCAGTCTCATATTACATTACCATCTTAATCCCTTGAACCAATCATAGTGAGGACTCCTGCATCTGTTGTTTAGTTGATGAAGGTACAAACCAAACTGTGAATGTATTAGTAAATTGTTCCCAAGTAATCTCAATGTTTAATTTGCTTGAAACTTCTCTCTCTGCTGGCCTAGCCAACAATGTTCGGCTTCATCATCAACAAAAAACACGATTAGGGGTATCTTACAGCTCTCCGGACACTGCATTATATCGAAGGATTTCTTTAGTCTCAGTAGCCAATCCCTAGCTACTTGAGGCTCCACTACTCACTTGAAATGAGGCTTGAATCGCAAGAATAACTTCCAATGTTTATCTCCATCCTCTACTCTCGAAGTAGACATTTTGTTGTAGAAGCATCGCCCATCAATTGAGTCACCAAACTAACAAAATGAGTAATTGAATCTGACAGAAGAGCTCCAATTGTACTTTATACTGCCCCAATCTAACTGGAACTTTGTTCTGAGTGGAACTTTGTTCATCTGTCATATCCTGATCTCGGGGATCCATAATTACTTAATACTTACACCTGGCATATACATGCAATAACATAATATAGCATACATAAAAGAGAGAATAAAAAGGAAAATTAATGTTAAACTACTCAAAACTCTTATAATCATCTACTAATCAATCTTATGACTAGTGTTAAATTAATTCCTCCAAATTGATTGCTCTGATGCCAAAAATTCTATCGCGACCAAACTCGATGCAACCTATCAAATTAAGGTGGGTCATCTCGTGTCGAGAACATAACGGAAAAATAGTTACCTAAGATTTTTTTGGAAAGAATTTTATTTACTTTTTTTTTCTTAAGTTTTCATAAATACAGAGTCACAAATATCATCAAATATATAAAATAAAAATACCCAAAATTCGTTCAGATCATATCAATATACAACAAAATAACATATATATAATAATCATAGTTTAATCTCTCTAACATGAAAAAAATAAACATCACCACGACTGTCAAAAATATAAATCTAAGATACTAACATATCTTATATCTACTATCACTAGTGACACATAAGCCTCTACTCATTTACCTTATTTGAACTAACACATGCGAGTAAAATAGAGGTGAGCAATCACAGCTCAACAGACTATCCAAAATCTACTGCAGTTTTTAATATTTTAAAAATTAATAGATATGTATTTAAACAAATGAAATTGAACATGGTGGAATATCATGTGTGATATCTGTCATATTGTCAATACAATAAATTATAATTACAATAGTAATGTGTTGAGTAACAATATAAACAATATGATATCATAAGTGCAGGATAATAACATGAAAATGAAAACACATTTTTTTTATTTACATTATTTTAATATTTTCCCTTTGCCCTTTATACCTCCACTTGTTCATATTTCTCATATGCCTCTTATAATACCTTTACTTGTTCACATACGTTCAAGTGTATCAAACATGCAAATGAATAATTACAGAGGTGCAACGGCTTTTATAACTATATTTGATTGCACATAAAATACATCCGCACTTTCTTTTTTTATTTTTGATACATATTTTTCATACAGAAGCATATAACTACTATCAATTTTCACAAATCAAATATCAGAACATGCTATAGAAAGTGGTATAAACCAGTAATCACAATTAATTATGTATTTTGCAAAAAAAATAAATATGAACAAATTGACAGTCATAATTTGCAAAACTACTCAAAAAATGTTCAGAATAATATTTCAATCATTTCTTATTTCACAACAAATTTTATCATGTTTAACATATGTGCCAAAATATATAAAATATTATACAACACAAAATACCCTATGAAAATAAATGTTTTCTATTGATATGTTCATCACTCTAATATATAAAATATAAAAAATTGTGCGCGAAAAGTTTGTGAATCTTCATAAATCATAGTTTGTATGAAATTTCAGCAAATAAAATACCAAAATTTCAATAAAAAACAACAAAATTAAAATCTAATGTTGGTTAATAGCTACCTACCTATAGACAGATAATTTCCCCAACTAACATGACGAATGAAATCGGCTATGACCTCCCGAGTTGACTTTCTTTTTAAAATCTATCATTTTCTCTCTCTGTGCGTGAATGAGGAGTGAGAAATGAGAAAATATATGGGGAATGAAAGGAAATCAAAGCATATGATAATGGATTAAGTTATTTATATAAAATATATTTTTTTATATATTTAATAAAAGGATATAAAAGTAATTAATTGAATTGTTGTACTTATTAAATATACACTTTATAGAAATTTCTTCTATCTAAGACTCTAAAAATTATGGCAAATAGACACTAGATGGTTCCAGAAAACATTTGTTAAAATAATTTTCAAAACTGTCACAAGATGGTTCCAGAAAACTCACTTGTATAATGACGTATTAAATCCTTAAAGAAGACAAATCAAACAAAAAAACAATTTATTTTCCTATTTATGAAGCTCATAAAACAGAGAAAATATGATTGAAATATAATCAAGCACGCTCTTCATTCTCGTGAAGATATTTTATAAATTGGGCATGAAATAAAAATACTAAAAATTAACAAATAAATTGAGCATTAAATTAACTCCAAAAACGTCAAAAAAATATTTATACATAAAATAAACATTTAAGACTTAGCAAATCCCAATATTAGGTCTCAAAAGGTGCACTTGTATACTAAGTAGCACATTACAGTAAGACCGTTGACTGTTTGAGCTTGCCGGTCAAAGGTCGGAGAACCACACCTTCGCGCGACTGAACATGGGACGCCACTGCCGTCTTCTCTTGTTGAGGTGTCGATGAATGAGTCGACCTCTGGCGAATCAGAACTGGGGCAAGTATTGGTGCCCTGGTGATGTGCACCTCAGCCCTACCCCCACCTCACAGAGTGGCAACGAGTCAGACGACTCGCTCATCTCCCCTACCTTTTGCTTCTTTTGCACCGCTCGCTTAACTAGCCTGGTCCGCTCTAGCAGGATCCCTTCTCCTGGACTCTTTGAATCAGTCAACAAACCTTCATCTTTTAACCTCTTTCCTGTCGAATGGCTCTTATCCACAAGCTTCTTCTTGGGAGCCTGCCAAGTACTCTCAGGCTTATTCTTTTTCTCGCCCATGAGAAGATGAAGTTTGTCAGTCGAAAGCCTTTAATTGCTTCCTCATTGGCTGGTCTTTTACCGCTTGCCATCACCATCCTCTGTTAAAACTGACTGGAGCCGGAAATGGTGATAAATAAATGTTAATCACACCCTACTTATAGGGAATAACAACACAAAAATACATAGAATTCAATTATTATAAGTTTTTAATAAATAAATAAATTTTTGTTCATTTAATTCTTTAATTTTTACTTCAGTTTGTACTTTCAAAAAAGTAAGAGAAATATGAACTAAATATGTACATTGAAAATATGACTGTATGAATCTCAAGAAAATTCAATGCATCTCGTTAAGAAGTTACCAAAGGACTACATTGGAACAGTCGAAAACAGAGAAGTTGAGCATCGTTTTATTCGGTCAGAATCATAAGTCGGCTGAAGTAAAGTACAACCGAACAAATAACATTATATACCTGATGTGAGGGAAAGCCTTATGCAATCAACTCCCTCGATCGATTATAGATCATAATGGAACTAATGGTGGTTCTCTATAACGTCTTTCCAATCTTTTATGAATACTCTTGTCCGAATGAGAGCTGCCCATCATATTACGATGACAAATCCTCTGCTAATGGTCGAAGTTCATTCTAATGAGGAAGGCCTTTACGAAGGGTTCTCTCAAGAAGGCCAACCAAAGACTTTCGAGCCACCGAAAAACTTTCAACAAATCGATGGTCTTACATGTGACCGAACGAATATCAGACAATCAAATGCTAGCATCAGTGGATCATTAATACCCAATTTGAAACAGTAATAAATACGAAACTGTGCCAACAACGATTACGAATATTAAAAAATTCAAAATCAATTACAAATATGTAAATGTGTAACAATATATTAACTACTTGTAACATTCATATAAAAATAGAGATAAACATGTAACTTACGGGACACCCCTATAATCTATAAATAGGGGAGTCATTTCTTCTAGGAGAAACTACTGGCTCAATTCTAAGAAAATCTGTGTTATTGCACACTTCACTTTTCTTTCTCTCTCCATTCTACTCATCCTTTTAACGTTTTATTTCTTGGATGTGATTCACATGATATTTTTGAATTCAACAATAAAAATTCTACTTAGCCTTATTTAAAAATTATTCAAATTTGAAAAGAATGCTCTTGAATCTTACTCGAACGCAATTCAAACCGAATTCAAGCTTATACAAACCTACTTCAGAATGACATTTTGAATATAATTCAAGCATGGTTCAAAATATTTTAAACTCTTCTAGAATATGAGCTCCCATTCTTTATTTGAACTTTGTTTAACTCTTATTGCAATTGACTTGCAAAGAAGTAGTTTACAATGAGTAGTAAGATATTTTGGTCAGCCCAAAATTTTAGGAGGGCATGGGAAGTTAAACACTTCTTATTTTTTATTTGAATTAGCAGAATAAAATAAATAAACAGGGAGAAATTTGGTAATTTTTTCCAATAATTAAAAAAAAAAGAAAAATAAGGTTTACGCTAATCCTGAACAGAAATGCAGTTGAGACCGCTCGCGAGCCCTGCAGTCGGTGCTGGCATCTTTTATTAGTCCTCCTTCATAACGCCCATTTCAGGTCTCCCAACACACACTCTCTCTGGCTTCTTTCGATCAAAGGGTATCCGACTTGGAATTTTGATAGATTCCTAACAATAAGCTGCACTTGATCTTCACGAGGTAAATCATAATTTGGTTGCATGGCGATTGCTGGTATCCAATGTACATGTATGTATATATTTTGGTTATGGTTGTTTAGTCTTGATGATGTTCATGTGGTTGTGAATTTAGGTTGGAGGCTATGGAGATTTGTTGGGATTTTATGGAATGGTTAGGGCCGGACGCGTCTTCCTCGGTGCTCATTCTTCTCGATGACCCCGCGGATCTCATGCGCGTCAGCGCTGTTTCCCGATCATGGCGTAGGTTGGGTGAGAGCTCGATCTTTTTTATCGATTGAATCAGAATAGGCTTGTTTTTTGCTTGGTTAGCTTTTTTTTCATTTGAAACAATTCATATCAAAACTTGAGCCAATCTCTTATAATGCTTCTACATTTGTCTGTGAGTAACACTATAAACTTATTAAGAAGAATGGTTTTGAAATAAACAAGGGTAAACTAGAGATAGAAAGATAATCTAAAGTGAGAAGCTCTGAGATTTCACTGGATTATAGAAAGAAAAAAATTTGAGAAAAGATAACTTTTTGTCTGAGATTCAACGTCTGGCATGTCTATCTATAGGCTCGGGTAGAGGCACGGTTTCACAAAAAAGTGCTATGTAAGCTATGAATGTAAAGAGTGCATGGCAGGGCTTTAATGAAGCTTGTTCTTAAATAAAAGAGGTTTGTAGCTCAAAGTACATAAAAGTATATATTAGTTGCTTATTAAGAACTTAATTAATGCATAGTCATTTGCATACTTCACATAAATACATTGAGTATTGGCAAGTAGCTTTTTTGCTTGAGCGAATTGTTTGGTTGAATTAGCGTGACTTTCTTCGAGGAAATAATTGAGTGTTTTAGCAATTAGGTGTGGTTAGCCATAAGTCCGCGAAAAGTATGTTGGCATAAGGTATTTTGATTGATTTGAACTCGGTTGGTAATTTTATTAACGTCAGCGCTGTTTCCCGATCATGGTGTAGGTTCGGTGAGAGTTCGATCTTTTTTATCGATTGAATCAGAATAGGCTTGTGTTTTGCTTGGTTAGCTTTTGTTTCATTTGAAATTATTCATATCAAGACTTGAGCCAATCTATTATAATGCATCAACATTTGTCTGTGAGTAACACTATAAGCTTATTAAGAAGAATGGTTTTGAAATAAACAAGGGTAAACTAGAGATAGAAAGATAATCTAAAGTGAGAAGCTCTGAGATTTAACTGGATTATAGAAAGAAAAAAATTGAGAAAAAGATACTTTTTGTCTGAGATTCACCGTCTAGCATGTCTATCTATAGGCTCGGGTAGAGGCACAGTTTCACAAAAAAGTGCTATGTAAGCTATGAATGTAAAGAGTGCATGGCAGGGCTTTAATGAAGCTTGTTCTTAAATAAAAGAGGTTTGTAGCTCAAAGTACATAAAAGTATATATTAGTTGCTTATTAAGAACTTAATTAATGCATAGTCATTTGCATACTTCACATAAATACATTGAGTATTGGCAAGTAGCTTTTTTGCTTGAGCGAATTGTTTGGTTGAATTAGCGTGACTTTCTTCGAGGAAATAATTGAGTGTTTTAGCAATTAGGTGTGGTTAGCCATAAGTCCGCGAAAAGTATGTTGGCATAAGGTATTTTGATTGATTTGAACTCGGTTGGTAATTTTATTATAATCTTGATTACTGCAGTAGATTGATCCTTCTAATTTTTCTAACTAGCCTTGAACATGGTCTAATGAACTATGTCAACTTGATCTGAATCAGCCCAACATATATTTGGTTATACAATTAGTTCCTTGACTATCTTATATTTTTAGAGAATATTAAAAAAAAAGAAAATTAATTACATTATCTTGATGAGCTATCCCATATTTAATAGTGCTGATTTTGTTGATTGTATATGCTAACATCATCACAAGTCATGAGGCTGTCATTTGAAGATTGCAACATTCAACCGTTTTCTTTATTTCCTCACTTCACAAACTTTTCTCTTCAAATCCAAGGGAATCACAATCTTGAGGTCAAAGTTGATGATTATCTTGAGAAATCCTTATTGATAATATTCTTACAAAGCTTCAAAAGGTTAACAAAATTAACTAACAAATGAAGGAAGAATAGTATTTTTTTTAAGAAGCCACCACTTAAGAAGGTGATGGTAAAACCACGTGAAGTGAGTAATGCAATTCTATATTCAAAGGTTTCTATTAGGCAAGCGAATTTCTCAATTTGAGCTTACAAGTGAGTCAATTATTCCTTCAAATGAATTAGTAGTAGCCGGTGACTACTTATAATTAACCAACAAACAAGACATTGATTTCTCCAAATGAACCTACCGTCGAGTCAACATCTTCTCGGAACAAACCAAAAAATGAGTCGTCAAGTTCTACAAATGAATGACACCCGAGTTAGCGACTTTTTAGAATTATTCAACAGATGAATTACTGAATTGCGGTGAATTATTTATGGGATAAGCTATTCAAGGTTTAGTAACGAAGTGAGGAGAAGATAGAGAGGAACAATTCATCAATGAGAAATGAGGTGGCCAAGGTGATGCGTTTTTAGATTTTTATGATCGCATTGCAATACATCCTATTGTAAGCAAGCTTTTAGATAAAGCTCGTGGTAATGTCATTATTAAGATGGTCTAGATTCAACAATTGCCAATATTTTTGTATTGCCAAAATTATACTTCATGAATATGTTGTATTGCTTTGTGTATTCTTCTATTCAACATTTCATTTAAAGAGAATTATTGCATCACAAATTTTTTATTGATAAGCCAAAATCCTTAAGTCTTTCTAGTGTTGATATTTTTTAGGGAGAACTCATGAGGTGATCTGAAAATCTTTTTTTGGTGCTAGTCATCCTTTTATGTCATATGAAGTCACTAACACACTGACGAGAAGTTCAAGGCAAGCTATAAATTTGTGGATTACAAATTCCTATCACCTGATAATGATATTAGAGAAATTTTTATTCTATATAATATTCCTTTTACTTTAATGTATTCGAGGTATATTGTCTCTTCAAACTTGAGAGCTAGAGTGACATCTGAATAGAAGTCATGAATTAAGATCTTATAAAGCATTCCCACGCGGCCCTCCTCTCCCCCTTCCCCCCTTTAGTATTTATCTTTCACCGGATTGTAGAGAAGTTCTTAATTAAGATTTTGAGTTTATTTTAACGAAAATGCTATCAAATATAGACTGATCTTTGTATGGAATTCTAGAAGATGCAAGCTGTCATGAGAACACTAAGATGCAATGCTAATAAGTAAAATTGCAAAAGTAATTAATAAAAAGATTTAAATAAAATATATACCAACTAAAAATACGACGACTATGTATACCATGATATCTATGAGATTTACTTGTAACATTAGCATTGGATCTAGCATTGAAGATTATTGGATCCTCTTTAGGATTTGAAAGGTTTTACTAGAAAATAACATGTTCGAAAAATGAATGCTCATTCTTGAATTAAAAGAATGCACAATCTGTGATTGCCCCTTTCCTAGATCCCCATTGTGTAGTGTTTGAGATGCACAATGTCATCATGCAATGATCCGAAGACACCTGATAAAAAAAAATCATACCAACAAAAAAAAATGATGAATAAATATATGAGTTAAGGTAAAATTGTAAAACACATTTAACAAATCTATGGCTTTAACTAGAAACTAAATCAAACATCAGTTAAAGCTTGAATCTCTAATTGTTATTTAAATGCTCATTTTAGGGCCATCAAACTTGAAAAGTGCGAAAAATACCCCTGTTAATCCCCACTTGGCAGGGCTAATTCTTATTTTGTATTGTATTCTTTGAGCTCCACATAACAATGTTGACTTGAACACTGCCTTAGGGGTCAATCAAATATAGCTTTAGCCGGGCTAATTCTTATTTTGTATTGTATTCTTTGAGCTCCACATAAGCTTTACCCTTAGAGATGGAAAACATACGGTTTGTATTAGGAATATAAAGCAATTGATTTTGAACTTGAATGTTGCAAAGTGGAATACCTCGGCTTCTTTTGTGTCACAGCAGGAATAATTACCTACATACAACTAAAAAATAGGTGATATCTTACAAGACACCTTATTAATAATAATCCTATCAAACATAACAACATGGTTAACATCAATTAGTGGTGCCAATAATATTCATTGGTCTAATTTACTGCAGTGCTATAAAATATGACTCCAATAAAATTTTCATCTATTGGTGGATGTGTAGGTGTCTGGCAACGTGGTGGCCAATGAAGACGAGTTTCACATTTTTGGTCTTTTAAGCTCTGTTTGGCGCAGTTGTAGCTTCTCAGCTTTTCAGCTCCAGCTATGCTGCCCTAGGAAGCTGCTGCGGGGAAGCTGACTGCCTGTTTGTTGCAACTGTGTGATAACAGCTGTGGGGAAGCTGTTTCTGAAAAAATGGTCATTTTGCTCCTGCTTAGTGAAGCTGTTTAAAACAAAACTATAACAACGACATATTTGATGATCCAGAAGCAGAAATTCATTGCAAAACATAACAATAAAGATAACACAATGGCATTGTGCTTCCTATCAATCTTCCACTCAATTCTCAAACCTATCCTAATAATTTTGTTATAATTAAGTTAAGCATCGTAGAAAAGCTCAACTTGAATTTCAAAGAGCATAAGTATTTATATCATAGAAGCAAGAATTAACTGCTTCAAAACCAGAAGTTAATGAGCAGTCAGCGCTCAAACAATTTCATCAACTCGAAATATGAAAAAAAAATAGCATCAAACACTTGTTCATAACTAAGTATTCAAAACACCTCAAACAATTTCAAGCATTTTTTTATACATATTTTCAAGCATAAATCCATCGCACTGACCTCCCTATGATTTCAATGTTGAGAAAATAAACTTTAGAACCCGATCGAGTCATCGATAGGTGATCCCATCCAATAATCCTGTGCCTCCGGTTAGATGAATAGTGAAAATTTTGCTTTCATAATTCAGTAAGCTGATTTGATCGGAATGAATTACTAGAGTTCAGAAAGATTCAATGCTAAAACCCCCTGAGGTAATTTCACATAAAACCTTATCCACTGCTACCACATAAAAGGGGATACCTAACAGGAAAGGATTACAAGTAGCATTAACCTATAGGTTTCTTATCTAGCAAGTAAACAAGAACGAGAAGCTTTTTTTTTACCAGGTAAAGGCAACAAATTGGAGAATTAATAGAAAACAAGAATTGGGACTCTGTTACTCACTACAAGACAGACCCTGTACTTTTCCCACTCGGCGACACACTCC